AGGGGGGGGGGGTCATCTTTTGGGGGAGGGGTCATTTCTGAAAAAGTGGACCTAAGGTGATTTCCCACTAGAACCCAGATTAATTTTGATTAAAAATTTATCTTTTCCTGACCAAAAGTTTATTACTTCCATCTCCTCCACCCTTCTCCGAGATCCCCCAACTTCGCCCCCCCCTTAAAATCCCTCTTCCTACGAGCCTGGTGTCTACGATAACAAACATGAATGTGCCAGACAAGTTTGAAAGCCACATAACAACAACACCCAGAATTTCTGAGATCTTTTCCACCACAAAAATTTTCACAAACATTTTCACCACTGTTTCAATGATTCATAAAGGCTGGCAAAATTATCATACACAGCTTTTTAGAGAAAAACTGTCTACTAATAATACACCAAGAAACTAAGGGTTTAAAAAAGAAATAATTGAAAATTATACTGAACATGCTTTTACACTGATTCATTAATATAGATATATATTTGAATGAAACAACACCGAGTGATATTTAAATATGAATGGATTATTAACTTACAATGAAGATGATACCCTTTGGAAGAGTGTAAGTATTAAGAAAAAGGAGAAAAAGACCAAAACCACAAAAACCAAAACAATAGATAGAGTAAACAAAATTATCATACAAGTATACCCAAACCAAAAATAAAAACTACTACATTTTGATTTACAGTAGAGAATAGGAATAGAAAGAGATGTATACATGGAATTCTATATCCTTCATCCAGAATAAAACATTTCTGTCATCTTTTCTTATCATTTAACACAACATTTATAATAAATGCTGCATATGAAATCAATACTAAAATTACCCAATGGTAGGTATAAACCTATACTATAGCTAGTTAACACATTTTGTTGCATATGATGAAGCTTCTATGCAAATCCAAGTCTTAACAAGTCACCACCAACATCTCAACTATCACAATAACCAAACGCCCTAACACAATTTTTAAATATCAATCTAGCACAATCTGAAATAGCACAAATCTGCATCAGTCTCAACTAACACAATATGAAATTCTCAAGATGTCTAAGAGTTCTCAACTAATGCAATGAAGCAATCTCAACACAACGTGTTTCATGTAACGCAATCTTACCCATTTGCAGAGTGGCGCCATCTTGGATCAAGTTGGTAGCAATGATGCGACCAATTTGTTTTTCTACTTCAGTAGGAACGCCATGTTTCATCTGCGGCAGCGGGAGATCTCCTTGGACAACAGCGTCAAAGTGGGAAAGATGGACCATCCCGTCACCGAATGTGCGTGGCATGTTGGGGTTCACTAGACCTGAGAAAGAAAATCGGCATTTTTGAATTATGTTGTATGTTATTTCAAACAAAAGCCCTTCCAAATCAATAAAAATTCTGTTCTGAAAAATTTTTAAAGTTCATATTCTGGTTTTTTATTTAAAAAAGGAAGCTTTTTTTTTCTAGGAAAAAATTTAAGGTGGCAAGGACTGAGCATATCACTGTGCCCTCAATTCACAACCCCCCACCCCCACCCCACCCCCCACCCCCCCGTATCGCCTAGGACTTACCTACAATATACCTGGCGTTCTGAATGGCAGCTCTTGAACAGTCCACACTGGGACCCAGCGTACAGAAACCATGCTGATCAGGTGAGCTGACAGATATCAGGGCAACATCTGGTGTGATTAAATTGCGGCGGAATAGCAAAGGAATCTCACTCAGGAAAATGGGGACAAAGTCTGCTCGTCCAGAATTGATCGCCTCTCGACAGTTGGCACCAATGAAAAATGAGTTGCATCTGAATATACCTATAATAAAATAATGTATTCAGCACTGCTCATAATGTCCCATATAATAGCTGTTGGCTGTCTATGCTGCTTATGCTACCGTTTGATTACATAATAGTAGAAAGAAAAAACGATTTAATATGGCAAATAATAATCTATCAGGACATACAGGTTAAATAACAAGATACATAAACAACAATTTTCACATATATGTGTTAATTAAACTCTGAATACTTCATACCAATGGATGAAATTGATCTCTCTTGTAACTTACTTCATGAATACTGTGCATAATAATGGCATTTATGTTAACTCAGTCAGAAAAGGTTAATGGATTTTCACATGTGCCTTCGTGTGCAATTGAGAAAAGCTCTTGCTCACATAACAATTAGAACATTTGCCAAAATGACTCAAAAGGAGAAATATACAGAGCCTGGAAGGCTACATACATATTATTGTTATTTTATGTCAAAGAGTATACACCAAGCTGATGCTTTTNTATAATTTTGTAATGTTTCATTCCAATTTCTTAGAAAAAATGTGTGTTGTTAAATAAGAAATTTTCGTGGCGCAGGACCTAAGTTCAAGAACTAAGCAGATCCAATTTTACATCATCAAGTACCCACTTTCGGTGGTCCATGTGTGGACTCTCTCTTCTTTGGCGGAATGTGGAGTTGATTGCAATTTAATATATCCAGTGTTACCTATACTGAATGGGGCTGTACCAAGAAGCTGCAGGTATTATACAGCAGGTACGAGACAAGAGAGGGACGGTGAAGTCATTGGTACTTTCTCACAGGCGGGTAAAGGTAAGGAGGGCTATACAACAAATACAGAATACTGCGCCAAACTGAAAATTTAGGCTTGCTATGAGTGCGCAAATCTGACTTCTAAAGTCGAAGCTTAAGACGAACAAATTAAGAACAGGGAGTTATCACAAAGTTAAGTTTATCCATATTTAGAAACCTTTCTTTACAAAAAGTTCAATATTTCTCCTTAAATTATTTTAAAAGATCATATCATTGTGTATACATGTGTTTTGTGTTGTGTATTTAGAATACCAAGCAGTTGTATGCCTTGGTCTGTGAGACTCTCAAGTACAGTGATGTATTAGACCAAGTCATAGATGCTGTACAGATATGTAAACTGGAGAAGACTTTACAGCGACGGCCACTAGCCCAAGTTGTGGTGTACGATTTATTGATAGGAAAAGGGTTGAAAAGTGATGGAAATTTGAAGGTACACTTTTTTTTTTCAATTTTAGATTTGCTTTTGAATCTTAATGATCTTTTTTTCCAATTGATATCATAAAACATTGCTAGATATGATTTGCACTTGAGAATCCACTTGTTATTATGATTATTTCAACACTTCATAACATGTATTACAGTATGTTGAAGAGCAGTGCACCTTTACACCTTGAAATTTCTTTCTTTTTCTGAACAATTTTTTTAAAAAATTGATTTCATTGAATTACGCAGTGGTATGGCAACACAAGACTGTCTTCATCACCATAACACATTGAAGTATCTTTATTTTTGTGATAATTATTTTAATTTAACTTTTGACTTTGATTTCAGGCTGCAGTGTGGAAACATAAGGCTGCCCTCAGTGCTGAGCTGGCCAGGCTAAAGGTTCGAGCTAAAGTTGCCAGCAATGAAGGTCTTCTTCCTGAACATGTGAGAAAGGAAGGCAAGTATTTTCTCATATCTTTTAAGATAGTGTCTGGAGAGAAACAAAGCATTCTATTTTTTTCTTTTATATCTGGAGTGTTAAGTATGAAAATTCAAATCCCTAAAAAAGGTGAAATTTGCTTACTAGTAGTGGTATTACATCTAGTACTGGTATGTACAAGTGTATAGGTTTCTTATTCTCAGCATTGGTAATTTTTCTGTCAGTGCCAGTCTTACTTTTATTTATTTGATACTTTGTGCTTTATTTGATTACTTCATAGTTGTTTGGTCCTTTTTTCCTACCTGCCTTCTTTCATTCAGTAATTCATTCCATTCTTTCACTCCCTTACACATTCATTCGTTTATATCCAATGCCACATATTATCATGTACCATAACCTGTTTGATATTGTGATGTGTTCGATTACAGCCCCACTGCCGAGATATGTGAGGGTAAATCTCCTGAAGACCAATGTGGAAGATGTCATTGGACACTTTGAGTCTGAAGGATATTCATTTGACCAGTGCAGCAACAACTATAACAGCTACGAGGAGTATGTGTTATTTTAGTTGGAACAGAACAATTGATTACATCACTCAGTTTGAGGGAGAACTGATTTGATATCTTTTGGTGCAAAAAATGAAGACCATTCTGTTATCACCAAAAGGTATCAAGTCAGTTCTCTGTCACATTTAATGAACAATAACTTTTATAGCGTTAGCTTTCTCCATCAGTTCAGAACACTGTACAAACACATTTTTGAATATCTCTTGACCTGGCAGAATATTTTTGCATCCGTCTGTCAGCAAAAGCTTCCATTGCTGGTTGACTTCCATGTTTTGTTTTAAGGAACAAAGTTTGTTGCAGTGATTTAAACATGGCATAATTGAATCCTTCATGGAAAATTGGTCACAAATCTTGACTTGTGTGAAAATGAAAAATACCCTACCTTACTTTATTAATATTGTTGTGTTGTTTGCAGGTACTTAGCCTCTGTAAAATCCCTAACGGGAAAACATTTCTTGAAAGACTTCCATCTTCCCAATGTCCTTGTGTTTCCACCTGGCAAAGATTTCCACCAACATCCCCTGTATACTGACGGCAGCATTATACTGCAAGACAAGGTAAGAGTGGGCAACTATAGCCCTAGGTCAGGGCTCTTTATATCTGCTGACCAAATGATTAAAATTGATAACCATACTGTAATAACTATTCAAATCCTTCTCTATTTTTACCCTCTACTGTTGTAGTTTATGCTAAAAATATCCTTGTTTCTGGGCAGTCAGGTTCTTTCTACATTAAAACCAGTATTGTGCCTTTGTAAAAGAGATGTTATTCATTTTAGGCCAGTTGCATACCAGCTCACATCTTGTCCCCCCTGCCAGGAAGTAATGTGATCGACTGTTGTGCTGCCCCCGGCAACAAGACCTCCCAGCTGGCTGCTGTCATGAACAATGAAGGGTGAGAGCTTTAGAGCATTAAGAATCCTTGGCCCAAGGTTGTCAGTACAGTACTCAAAACTTGCCAATATTTTTAATGTTTTTGGAAGGCACTGTGCTGACATTTAACCAAGTTGTGTCATTAGATTTTTAATAAAGATTTCTTTTGAATTAAAGAATGTGCTGCTCAAACGTAAGGGCATTGTTTACAAATATTGTACATATGAAACTTAAAAACTTACACTAAGATAAATTTAATACTAAATCTATTAAAAGCTAAATGCTAAAAGAGACATAGCTATAGTATTTTTTAAATTTAAGTTTTTAATTTTCTCTTCAAACTATTATAACTGCTGCTATTAGATAATTCTCCATAATAACATTAAAAATCATACTTATCAATAGTCACCATAAACACTGGATGCATAAACCTAAAGGAAAGTCCAGCTAAGTATTACCATATTTTAATGATCAGCTTGTATTTCTAGGAAGTTGCACGCATTTGACAAAGATGGTGCAAGGTTCAAAACACTCAAATCCATGTTGGCCAAGGCTGGGGTACAGTGTGCCCATCTTCACCACCAGGACTTCCTGAAGGTGTCACCACTAGACAAGACATACCAGGATGTGGAATTTGTACTTGTTGACCCTTCTTGTAGCGGATCAGGTGAGACGAGGGATTGGTTGTTTTATTAAAGACATTTCAGGAAAAGTTTGTTTTGCTGAGAAATCAAAAGATATTTGAGAGAATCTTAGAAGCATTTAAATCCACTAAATGTGAAATTTTTTTAGTTGTCATTATTTTTATCTTACAGGTATAGTCAGCAGACTTAACTCCATCACAGATAAAGAAGATTCCACACCAACCCAGCGCCTAGGCAGTCTTGCCAGTTTCCAAGCCTCCATATTGAAACATGCTCTCTCTTTCCCAAACGTCAGGCGTGTAGTGTATTCCACCTGTTCTACTCATAGAGAAGAAAACGAGGAAGTGGTTCAAAGAGTTCTTCTAGAGACTGGTGGTCAGTTTCACTTGACCCGTGCTCTTCCAAACTGGACACACAGGGGCCTGGGGGACTTTGAATTTGGACATTTGTGCCTCAGGGCCTCCGCACAGCCAGACTATACTAATGGCTTCTTTGTGGCTTGTCTTGAACGTTGCCTTGGTGACAAGGAGTGTCTTGACTGTTACCATGGTGATGGAGATGATAAGGCTCAGGCAAATCAAGGAAATTTGAATTCAATGAATACAAACGTGAAAAGGAAACAAAACTCAGAAGGGGTTGTGCCACATGTTTACGACAAGAAAAATTGTAATCAATTTTCCACAAAGGTTGTGTGTAACAATGGCGCCACGGGTGAATTATCCACCAGTAAAAAGTCAAGAAAAAGGAGAAAACTAAATGGTGATTGCGAAAAAGCAGAAGAAAAGTTACAGAATTCTGTTTGGGAGAGCAAAGAAAGAAATGACTCTGTACCAGGGAGCCAAAGTACATTTTTGCTGAAATCAAAAAAAAACGGCCACAAAAAGAGGAAAAGGAAAAAGACTAAGAAACCTATTGTTTGATTATGAATATGTTAATTATTGGTAACTGATTGCCATACGGATATACTATTATATCAGTTTTCTGTTTCCCTAACCAACTGAATACTAGTACGAATTTAAAATTTTGTTTTGGACGACACTGACAGTGACATACAAATATAATTAATAAATATATATAAAAATACCATTTTAATCATGATATTTATTTCATACTTAACAATAAATTGTAACAAAACTAGTATTTAGCAATAAGCCATCTGCAATTACACAATCATATATTTCTGGTATTGAGACAAAACGCACCATGCTTTCCTGTATCTGTGCAGACATAGGATTACATTAGCCTTTTATAAATGCAGACCTGTCAGAAGTTTCATTCATCTAATCCTGTATGAAATAAAATCTCTCAACACTTTTCGCATCCTTGTAATACACTGTTCATGATTTGGTTCCTCTTTCCCAGGAACTTAACTTATATTTCAACTTTTTTCCTTGTGAAGGATCACAACATTTGTATTACCACAGTAGTAACAAGGCAGCAAAGCTGTCAAATGTACAGACAAAAAACAGAAAATAAAGATGCAAAATAGGTCATTTTGTCAATTTTGATGCAATAATAAATAATGCTTATAATAGCACTGTCAGTCAACACTGAATTTTAATCATGCACAACAGGTAAAATGGTCAATAACATGAGCGGACCCAGAGATATTTTCTGACAGTATTCCAAAGTATCTATTTTGATCCATCCTCCATTTTGATGGTCTTCCAACAGAAGAAAAAATAGATACCAGGCAATATAAACTTAATAACCTGACTGTCTTCCGGAAGTCCCAGAAGATGGTCTCAATCTACCCTTTCAATAAGATTACAGTTTCAGGACCATGAGAGTTCAAATTCACATGATGTAAGTCTCAATATTTGAAAAATGATGACAGTGCATAAAATAATATTACATAAGTAACATAATGTTTAAAGACATAAAAAACAATACAACTGCTTATGTGGAAAAACAGAAANCGACGGCGACGGCGACGACAGACGCAGATGATGGCTATATGTACAGACACATCTGTGTCTGTACATAATAAAACAACGTCACGGCAGAGCCATTAACTATTTTAAACAGTTTTTAAGAGGCGTTACTTTTACTTTATATATACACATATAAAGGCTAGGATGGGCCCAAGGGGTGGGGCATCCTCCATATATATATATATATATATATATATATATATATATATATATATATATATATATATATATATATATATGCCCCCCTTTCTCCAAATTTAATAATACTGGGCCCACCAGTCCTTAGGTATTCCCTACTTTACAACTAAAGCTTAATTAAAAATACAAAATTATAATACACACATATACACGTACAAAGGACTACTTGCAATGGGTAAGCTATGTACCAGGGGTATCCGCATAGTCCAAGTGTTAAGCACCATTCACTCGAACTGAACTTTTTACAACAATTCACAAAACTAAAATAGGTTTATGCTCTGGTGCTGTAAGTGTCAAGCACTTTCAAATTAACTCTAAATTATGGTCTATGTATTCTAAACTAAATCTCCTGTAGGGTTTTTTTTTTTTTTATTATTGTAAACACATATTAAATTTGAGCTATAAATAGTTTGAAAGATGAGCATTAATAAAGTACTTTCAAATTTCTAGAAACTACTGGCTTTGAACTGACAAAATATCAAATTAATGTATATTTTTTATGTGGCAATGGCGATTTCAATTGACTTTTCTGAACCTGTAAGCCTCTCATGTGATCTGATTGAGAGGATTTGCTTTCACATTTTGATTTGATCACTTAAACTTCACCGTTTTCAGCTGAAAATTACTACTATATTATAATGTAACACTGAAATATCAATACTGTTAATAAACTACAAGTCGCCCCATGATCTGGCCACCAGGTGGCAGCAGTTGCCAGTTAGCGACCACCAGGTGCTTTGTACAGTTCAAACAAATCAACAATTTGAAATGCCATGCAACATAACGTAAGGGAAAAACTGCACTTGTGATACAACATCTACTTCCAAAAATTAACCCTGTGCTTATTTGTGTTAATATCATTAGTATTAGTACGTAATGCCAGGTCGCATCATATAGTAAGGCTCTATTCCCTTAGATTTTAGATCGATCTATCCCCGCGGGGAGTCTCACTAGATTACTTTCAGATAATCCGACTTAAATGTCCGTCCCGCCTACTACAAGCTTTAAGGGGGTAATTAACTTTCGTGTCCGCCCGGCTGACAGCTATTTAGCGTGAACCCCCAGGGAGTTAGGTCGATCTAAAGTAGGTCGATCTAATCTATGGAAATGGGGGGTAACTTATCTATAACAATAAGTGAAAACAATGACATATATGCATACACCTTTACTAGTAATTAGAGTTATTTTTTGATTCGATCAAAAGGAAATGGGACTTTCATAAAATTATACTACTTTTTCCCCATTGTTGTCGTGTATGTGTTACAACAGCAGGATATTTTTGTATTAAAAAGAGAGAAAAACATGCAAAGAAGTCTTGATCTTTGAGATCCCTTTTCAACCTTACCTTTTCAAATATTGGAAATGCAGAAAAAAGTTAATTCTTACACAACTATTTTGTTTTCCACTTTTTAAAGTGAATAGTTTTAAAAAGAGGCGTAATTTTGCTATTAAATACATGGCATATGCCTACTGCAAATAAATACTCTCTAAGGTGATGGCATGCATTTTAGCCTTTCAAATGATTCTTTCTCCAAATTTTCTCTATGATCAGGGTGAGCAATTTTGATTAATTCGTAAGCTCTCTGTCTGAGATTCTTGCCAAACAAAGATGCAATGCCGTATTCTGTCACAATGAAATGTGCATGAGCTCTGCTTGTCACAACACCAGCACCTGAAGACAAAAAAAATTTAAAAATTTAATAATTTTTCATTTAACTATCCCTCCAGTTTTAAAAGGCACTGTATCCTGTCTTCAAAATATAAACCAGAGTTTTGTATTTACTCAGACACGGTGCTTTTTTTCTTTTTATCATTTTGTTGAATTTCTTTGATTACACAGTGAATATCATAGATTACTTCATTTCTTGTGTACATACTTTTAAAAAATGTTCAATTTTTCTATAATGCATTAAACATTATTTTGCAAAAGCAACATTGGATCCTGTCAAACCGTAGACATTCTGATTCATGGGTAAATAATTCTTGGGACGTAAGGGAATTAAGTTTTGCTAAAAAAAAGTCCACCTCCATTTAAAAATACAATATGACTGACCACCTTACCTTTCTTCAGATAGGGTACAATTTTACTCTCCCCATTCTTGGTCACAGATGGCAGTGCTAGGATGGGTTTCCCAAGACCATCCACACTCAAAGCTGCTCCACGCAAAAAGTCTATCTGGCCACCCACACCTTCAGAAACCAATAGAAAAACACTTATTGAAAATGTAGCGATCACTCATACATATATTTTTACCACCTACGGCATAGTCAAACAGGTCAATAGGTCACATTATAAATTTTTTTTCTGAATCTTAGGCCCCATTCCCATAGACACCAACAGTCTACGTGGATCAACCCAACCCAACTCCCTGGGGACTCTCGCTGAATGCAATCAACCAGTCATATTAACACACCTTCCACCTGGCTTTAAGTAAAATACAGAAGAACTGGTGATAATCAGTATCACTGTTAGGAAATTTGACACTTAGCAAAAGGTGAACTTATCATTCATTGCCATAGCAACCATCTTTCTAATGAAAGCAGCAAATTGAATTTATGTTCAAACAGGAATAACAAGAAGTCTGTGGGAAATGTGAATATGATTGCTTCTGAGAAAATCAATACTGATTAAAAAAAAAGCCAAGATGATTCTGTCCTATACTCTCTTACATTATGACTAGCTCAAAATATTAATAAAAAGTTCTTGATGCCTTATAAATTTTGAAATTTTGGCTTTTTGAAGGGGAGAACTATTGAATTCAACCAAATATATGCACGTTTTAACAGTTTTCGTATGTTGTGATAGTCAAAAATTCTACTGTGAATACAGATACAAAGTTAAATGAACAAACAAATCTTAGGTTATACTTAAAAAATCATGCTGAGCCACACAAAAATAAATATCAGTGTAAAACTTGCCTGAATACATTCTAGTTCCGATGGAGTCTGCACACACCTGTCCTGTCAAGTCAATCTCAATACACGAGTTGATTGCCGTCACTTTGGGATTCTGGCTAATTATTGCGGTGTTGTTTACAAATGCAATGTCCAACATCACTAAAATTTTAAAAAGATTTTTTAAAAAATTAATTAAATTTATATGTTTTTTTTTCAAGGTCAACATACATTATTCTAATGACTAAAATTTGACAAAACATATCTTCTTTTCCTTTTTCATTTGAAATAATCAAAAGATTGTCTTACTCATTAACAAAAATAGGTTCAGATAAAAAATATCCAATTACATTCTAGAAAAAAAAGCCAGTCTCTTTCTAGCCTATATTCTCTCATGCTCACCTATAAAAGGATTATTATCCATGAAGTCATACAGGCGCTGTGTACCAACTGCAAAACCTCCGACAATTTTTCCAGGATGGATTGTCTTCCTGGCATTTGTGATGGCGCCAGCTTCTACGAGATCTACGACACCATCGCTGAACATCTCCGTGTGGATTCCAAGATCTCGGTGACTCCACAGTGCCGCCAGGACCGCGTCAGGGATCGAACCAATACCTGATTGTGAATGGATATAAGCCAAAATAGTGTACTGATATAAATGTATCTTGCAGATATTTTCTTTTATGCACTGTTAATTGACAATTTAAGTAAAAATTATATCTGAAGTAAAAACTGTGATGAAAAGTGCTGGCAAATTGACTAACAGATTATGAAGTAATAGTATACTATAAACAACTTCATATTATCAATATTATGAACAATTATCTTCAAACCTCAAAACAGAAAATCTAACTTTAAAAGCTGTAATTACTGGTACTAAATGACCTGAGAACGAGATAAGGTTTCCAATGTCATAACAACTATTCTCAAACTGCATGAGCAGATACAGTGTTTATTATAAACTATTTTGAATAGATGAACACCTGAAAGCAATGAAGATCAATACACAAATATATGAGTCAATACAGGCAGTGGGCAGAGCCATAGACTCTGACTACTTAGGCTACAATACTGATGCTAGTTCTGCAGTACTAACCAATGTGATGATTGAAAAGTTCATTGGCTCATGTCACAAATATTGTTTTTATAATAGCTTAAAGCCATAAATCTTGATAAAAAAAGCAAACATAACAATGTGGATTTTAAAATATTTAAACAATTGCAGTAACTTTAATCAC